TCTTCTTGGTTCTTGGTTCCCGGTGGTTTGAGAGCCCATCGGTTGCAGCCGCCCTCCTCCTCCTCCTCCTCCTCCTCCTCCTCCTCCTCCTCCTCCTCCTGTTCCGCCACTTCTTCCTCCTCCTCCTCCTCTTCTTCCTCTTCCGTCTCCTCCTCCTCTTCCTCGTTTTCCTCCTCGTGCTCCTGCTGTCTCCTCCTGTCTTCTCCTCCTCTTCCTCCTCTTCCTCCTCCTCCTGCTCCTCCTCGTGTTCCTCCTCCTCTTTTTCCTCTTCCTCCTGCTCCTCCTGTTCCTCCTCCTCCTTTCCTCCTCCTCCTCCTCCTCCTCCTCCTCCTCCTCCTCTTCCCTCCTCTTTTCCTCCTCCTCCTCCTCCTCCTTTTGTTTGTCCCCTGCTCTTTCCTCCCCTCCTCCTCCTCCTCCTCCTCCTGCTGTTCCTCTTCTTCCTCTTGTTCCTCTTCCTCCTCGTCTTCCTCCTGCATTCGCGTTCCTGCCTCCTCCTCCTCGCTCCTCCTCCCTCCTCTTCCTCCGCCTCCGCCTCCTCCGCCTCCTCCTTCCTCTGCTCCTCCTATTCCTCCCCTTCCCTCCTCCTCCTCCTCCTCTTTCCTCCTCTCCTCCTTTTCCTCCTCCTCGTCCTCTCCAGAATCCCCTTTTCAACCTCCTCCTCCTCCTCCTCCTCCTCCTCCTCCTCCTCCTCCTGCTCCTCCCTTTCCTCCTTATGTTCCTCCTCCTCTTCTTCGTCGTTTTCTTCTTATTATTATTATTATTCTTCTTCTTCTTCTTATTATTAATATTCTTCTTATTGTTACTAGCAGTATTATTATTATGAGTATTAGTGGTATTAGTACTACCATTCATGATATTATCATCATCGTCATCATCATCATCATTCTCATTATGGTATTATTAATATTGTTGTTAGTATTAGTGCTATTATTGCTATTCTTAGTATTAGTATACTATTATTGATACTATCATTAGTATTATTAGTGTTGGTCGTACAATTACTAGTATTGTTATCATGATTACACATATGATTATTATTATGAAATATTATACGTATTATGATTATTAGTATTATGATTATTATTATTATTATTATTAAAAGTATCATCATCATCATTATTATTAATGTTATTATTATTATGATTAGTATTATTATTATTAATGTTGTTATTATTATTATTATTATTATTAATATTACCACTATTATTATCATTATTAGCATTATTCTTATCATTAGTAATATTCGTATTATTTGTAATATTATTATCAGTATTACCATTATTAGTATTAGTATTCGTATTCGTATTAGTATTATTACAATTATAGTCATTACTATTAACCTTCCTCTACTTCCTCTTATTCCTCTTATCCCTCTTCTTCTTCTTCCTCCTCCTCGTCTTCCTCCTCCTCCTCCTGCTCCTCCTCCTCCTCCTCCTCCTCTTCCCCCTCCCCCTCGTCCTCTTTTTCCTCCTCCTTTCCTCCTCCTCCTCCTCCTCCTCCTCCCCCTCCTGCTCCTCATGCTCCTCCTCCCCCTCCTCCTCCTTTTCCTCCTCCTCCTTCTCCGCGTGTTCCTCCTCTTCCTCCTGTTTTTCGGCTTCTCCATGCAATTTCAGATTCCCAGCCGACGAGCGACGAACATCTGTCCCAGAGAAGAAAGGCGACGGCATGCCTGGGAGCGATCGGGTCAAGCTGGCCTCCCCGCCTCGGTGCCGATCCTGCGCCAAGTGATCATGCCAGTCACCCTACTGGGATCTTCCGTCCAAAATCGGCTTTGTTGGACGGGCCGGTGCCTTCGCGCAGCAGCTTCAGACTCCGCGAGGTATCTTCATTACGTGGGCGGTCTAAGCATTTACTAGTTACATGCTGAGACCGGCGATTCCCGAGAGCACCGCACTTCGAGCACCGCGTGATCTGACCACCTCCGATGCACAGCGCGGGGGGGGGAGCAAGACGAGCTACCTTCGGCGGCCCGACGCATGTGGACTTACATATACCTACCCTACTGCCCGCCTCCCACCGCGACCGCGCTGGCATTTGCACCTGCCCCCCCCTGGGCTTATAATGAACCAGCTGGTGGCCAGAGCATCGGGCACCAATTCGAGACTCTTGGGCGCTGTCTTACCTTAGTTCGAACCCTCTCGACATCTGGGAAGTGGAGACGGGACAAGGTTTGCATTGTTTGTTGACCAGATCGGCCTGATGTGCACGCAACTGCTTGGCTCTCGGGTTGTGGGGATGCACGTCGACTCCTAACTTCGCAAGGCAGTCTGCCTCTCGGCTGCTGGCCCAGATCCAAAACCTACGCCCGCGGTCGAGGGCAGCCCGGCGGGGCAGATGGCTCTTGACCTTGGCAAGGGTACGATTGTGAATCCCCGCGCCCCTAGCCCCGGCAAAGATGTTCCACCTCAGCTCGCTGCGCGCGGCGCGGCCTCCTGCCTGACGCAGCGCTGCCGGGGGCGCGCGCGCGTCTCCCCCCCCGCAGAGTGCAGCGGATGGGGGGGAGCTCGCGATGGGAGGCGATCTGGTCGCGGCAACTGAAAGGGTCGGGGAGGTCCTTGTCGCCGCCGGGGGGGGGGGGCTCAACCTCTTTCCAAACCTCCTGCATCTGTTCCACGGGGGCGCCAGGTCGCGGGGGGGGCCGCCAATTTTGACCGCCGCCGAGGCCCGCCCGATCGGCGCTTTCGAATGTCGATGCGCTTTACCTCCACCATTTTCCGCGGCATCGTTCACCCGCCCCCTCCAAGGGGCCCCGTCTGTCAGCTTTGAACTTCAGCTCCAAGGAAGACGCGGGCGAGGCGGCTGGCATCCTCTCGGAACCTGAGATGCCCGGCCTCTGAGCGGGCGAAATGGGCGTCGGGGGGCGCCGGTCCCCATTCGAGCCGCCGCGCGCCGCCCCCGAGGTCGGGCGGCCCGCTCCCAACCCTGCGCGCCGAGCGTCGCGACTCAGGCCCTTCCCGGGCAGACCCATTTTTTCCGATGGTGGCGGGCCAGCTCGCGAAGAGAAATGCCGACCCGGCGCCAGGGCCGCGAGCGAGGGCGCCCGAGAGGATGTGCTCCTCCCGACGTCTGCAACGCCGGGGCCTGCTTGAATCGCTCGGCCTGGTTTCGACCGAAGTGCTCAGCGCCGCCCGCCCGGTAAATCCCCTGAACCCGCGCTCGATGTTCCCCGGTTCGGGCCCCAAGGCGCCCGTCCAAATCCTGGCTCGAACCCCCTTCGCCCGCACGCTGGCGGAGACGGGCGCGGCCGGGCGGGGCAGGGGGGGCGGCGCGGGGTGCCCCTCTCGGCCCTCGGCGCAGGAAGGGTCCCAACCTTGACCATCCGAGGGCCCCCTCTCACGGCGGCAGCAACGGGCCGGCGCGGGCTCGCGGTCGCACTCGCGCCGCGGCAGACGTTGGAAAGGTCCGGGGTAAGAGCAGCCGAGCAAACAAAAAGTCGATCGCCTTCCCCTTCTGGGCCGTCGAGCGGCCGGTGGGGACAGAGGGCCAAGGCGCTCGGCCCGTCCAGAACTCCGAAGGGTGCGAGGCTCGCGGTTCCAATCCCCCCCAAGGTAAACGGCGGCCCCCACCCATAGAAGCCCCCCCCAAGACGCGCCGGAAGACGGCCTCCCCCCCCCCCGGGGTTTCGCCCCGGCGGTGGCGGGCGCCCCCGAAGACGCAGCCCCTGGGGACAAAGGCACTCGCCCAAACCAGAGCTGGCACCTGCATGCAGCGGGGCGCGGGCGCCCGGGGGAGGGGGGGGGCTGGGGGGGCAAGCCCGCGCCGACGCGGCTCCCGACGGCAATTCCAACGCCGCGAAACATTCCTCCAAGGCCGGCAACGATCGAAGGGCTGAGGATGCTCTGCCGGCCCCGCGATCGCATCGCGGCCTCGATCGACCATTGGCCCGCCGCCGACCCTCGGCGCGGGCCCTTGGAGGCAGGCGATCGCGGCGCCGGTCTCTTCCCCCAGGTGCTGCTTGAGGGGTGCGAGCGAGGCGCAGTTGCGCGTCTCGATCAGGATATATTAGCGCCTGCCGACTCTGGCCTCCGGCTCAGGGGGCAGGTCTGGCCCCGCGACGGGGGGGGGGGCGGGCGGCGCTGGCAAGGGCGCCGCCTTAGCACAGCTGGGCAACAAAAACAAAAGAGGAGACAACCGCTGCGTCAGCCGCCAGGCCAAGACAGCAGTCACCTGCCCCACCCGGGCCCCGCACCAGGCCAGACCAACTTCCGGGCGCGGCCGAAATCGGGGGGGTCGAGCCGCCCCAGCGACGCGCGCGGTCGTCTTGCGGCGCGCCGCGCCGCCCCCGGCGATTCGCCGAGCCAGGGCGCCGCTCGGGAGGCCCCAGGCATCCTGGCTCGTCCGAGGGGTGCGTCTGGAGCGGCGCCCCCGCTCTCTGGGGCGGAGAGCGCGGCGCCTGTCGCCAGCCCAAAACATGGACAGGTCGTCGCCCCAACCGAAGACGCCGCCCCACCTGCTTTTTTCTGGGGGGCCTCTGCCAGGGGTTCTGCTTCGACATCAGGGTCGGTGGCGAACAGGTCCACGAGCGCGCGCTGTCGAGATCAATGACTCCCCCCCTGATACCGACGGCTTCGATCGCGAGGGCAGCGTCGCCACAAGGGCTTCATACCTCAGACTTCCCCAGCCCTTTCCCGCCATGCGAGGCCTTGCTGCCCCCGGGCACCTGCGCGGTCCTCAAACGGTTGTCATCCTCCGCGATGGTGGCCTTAGGCTTGGCGTTGACGGGTGCTGGGGCTCCTCCAGCACGTGCCGCGCCTGCGCCGCATCCTTCAGCTAGCGCAGCAGGAGGTGCGCTGGCGGCTGGCGCAGCGCCCGTAGCGCCATGTCCTCCTCCAGCGCCGCTGGGACCTGGAGCTCAACTTGGGGCCCTGGCGTCGCCCTCGCCGCCTGCTGCGTCTTCAGGTGGGTTGGGTCGAACGCGCTTGCGAGCGAGACGTTGGACATGCGCAGCGTGATGCCGTCGACCTCCGCCATAGCGTCGCGAACATATCCTTGGCGGCAGCTTGCATCTGGATGCGGAGCTGCTCCGTCTTTCCGTCGGGGATCTTGACGCCCTCGCCTGTGAGCTCGAACCCTTCGCCAATCTTGAGGAAGCCGCCGACGTCGATGACAGCGATGATGTCCGATTTGCCCTCCGCCACGTCGAGGGGGGGACCTTGGTGCCGACGTCCCGCCTCCCGCTCTCAGACTCTTTGCTGCTGACCTTCCCCACAAAATCCGAGACGATCGCGGTGCGCTCCCCGTCTGCTTCCGCCAATTCCGACTCGGGCTTCCGGGCGCGCACCGTCTGCGTCCGAACCCCGGCCTGGTAGTTATCCAGATTGTCGGCTTCTTCTCGCAGGGCTTCCTCGAGCTTTCTGATGCGGCGGTGGCACTGTTGAGCTCGCTCCTGCACGGTGAGGCTGGGGCCACGTCTGAGCTCGGCCAGTTGGGCAGTGCACTTGCGCGCCGTGGCGTGGTCGCCTTGCTTGGTTGCCATCTGGATGCCGCTTTCGAGCTCCTCGTCGGTGGGGTAAGCAAGCACCGCCCTTGCCAGAGGCAGGGGGCGCCCTTGTGCCTGCGTATTCGGGTCACACGTCGAGGGTTTGCTGCGAAGGGCCACGAGAAGTTCGACGAGCACGGCCACCACCAGGCAGGCACCAGCAAGGAATGAGTGTCCGCGTTTGTGGGAACTCGGACTTTCCACTGGTTGCAGTGGTTGCAGTGCTCGAGCGAACCCAAGTTCTTACTGCACCCACGGTACGCACTCGTCCTCCTGGACCCTTGACTCTCCGCACAGGCTCCACGAGAGGCGCTGCGACGTGAAAACTTGCCGCCGTCGACGCCACGATCTGCAGGAAACCGTTCTATGCCTCGCCACCCCTGCTGGTCTCTACCTCCATCACGCTACGGGTGCGGAAGGTGAGGAATGGTTGCGCACGTCCCTGGGTGCCGCCCAAAAGCGAAACACAGACAGTATACGGAATCTGGAGGCAGCTGAGCTGTGTTACATATGGAACATGGAAGGCCAGCTCCCGAGGCCAAACCGCCCACCTGAGAGCAGCCCGTGGGCAAAGCGGATTGACTCAACCACATTGACGAAATTGCAACTTGAGCCAACATGGCTTGAGCCAAACTGGCTACGCAACTCGTCGTCGTCATCCTCCTCCTCATCCTCCTCCTTCTCTTCTTCCTGTTATTATTATTCTTATTGTTATTCTTATTATTCTTAATACTGTGAGTATGTTGTGTCTGTGTTTGTTTCTTAGTATTTTTTTTATTATTATTATTCTCCTCCTCCTCCTTTATTCGTCCTTCTTCCTTGTTCGGCTTCTTTTTCGTATTATTATTATCCTCCCCCTCCTCGTCCTCGTCCTCCTCTTTTTTATGTTATTAATTATTTGTATTCTTACTATTTGTCATCCTCCTCCTCCTTCGCCTCTTGTTCTTAACAGTGCGAATCCCATGTTGCTTCTAAGTCGTGTTATTATTTTTCGTGGTATCATGGGCGTCATTGTTTTCTTATTGGTATTCTCATTCGTACCATTATTTACATTCGTATAATATGACTCGTGTTCGTCCTACTCTGATTGATATGATCCTCCTCCTTGTTCCTACGACTCGTTTGCTCTCCTCCTCCTCCCTCTCATCGTGATGACGCCGCACATCGAACCATCGTGAACAGCCAGGGCCACAGCGACGAACCGCGCTGGGGAAGGAACATCTGACCGGGGGAACCCCGAATCGGCGACGATACGTCGCCGATGAATCGGCGATACGTCGCCGATGAATCGGCGACGTATCGCCGAGGAGGAGGAGGAGGAGGGGGAGGGGGAGGGGAAGGAGGAGGAGGAGGAGGAGGAGGAGGAGGAGGAGGAGGAGGATGAGGAGGAGGAGGAGGGAAACCCCGATCGGCGATACGTCGCCGATGAATCGGCAGTGGGCCCCCCGATGGCGCAGCGCACGCTGCAGGGCGGGGCGGGCCACCAGGCCCCCTAGCGGAGACAGTGGGGCAAACGAGGGCCGACCCATCCCGCCTTGAGCCTCCCGCCCCTGGCGTTGCCCCTGGCGCGAATAGGAAGCTGGGCGAGGGCTGCTAATACCATGGCTGCTAAAACGGCCCTCCCGGAAGGAAAGAACAACTTCCCGGAATGAGGCGCGGCACGCGAAACAGTCAACGGGCTTCTTCCCGGAAGGATGAAGACAACTTCCCGGAGGTCGATTCTAGCAGCCACGGATTTAGCAGCCCTTGCCCGGCTTCCGAGAGAATCCAATGTGGGCCGACCTGGGCAAGAGGAGGAGGACGATAGGGGGTCCCATCACCGGAACACATCGGCGCTCCTCTGCAGGATGGGCAGTGGCAGCCCCTTGCACCACGGGGGATGCCAGTGCACAGCCCGTGCCGAAGGAGGAGGAGGAGGACGAGGACGAGGAGGACCAGAGGGGGGGACGAGGACGAGGAGGAGGGGGAACAACAACAAGTGGAGGACGACGCACACAAAGAGGAAGGGTGAGGAAGGAAGGAAGAGGAACTCGAAAAACAAACACTGCTATGAAAATGAACTTGAAGAGGTCCGCACGGATTTGTTTGATCGGTGCTGGACCCCCCCCTTCCTGGCGCGCGGAGCGCGCAGGGGCGGCGCCGGAGGCTCAAACGCTGATCCAAGAAAGCCACGCGGACCTCCGCAAAAGTATGTTTATGCCATTATCTGTTCCTTTCGCCCCTCCCCTACCCTTTCCTCACCCTTCCTCCTCGTCGTCGTCCTCCACCTGCTGCTGCTCCTCCTCCTCGTCTCGTTTGGTCGTGCGCGCCCGAGCGGGGCGCGCTGTGCCGACACCCTGGGCAAGAGGCAAGCACGGCTCCATTCCAACCCGGGCTCTCGCCATCGCTCGGGCGTCCATTCCCCATGCACGTTTTGATCTCGTGCGCTTGCTGTGGACAAGAACGCTCCACCACTCCCAAAATAACTTCTCGCAAACGGCCTGGGTCCGCAGCGAGGGATTTCCTATCCGCTACATCGTAATATACTGCATTCGTTCCTCTGGAAGTTTGCGAGTAGGTACTTTGCGAGTAGAGGGACACGCTCTGTGATACTGTTTGGAGAGATGGCCCAAGATGCTCCTCGATGGCTTTCGCCGAGGAAAAGCTGCACACGCCCCAGCGATGCGGGCCCCGGCGATGGAAGAGGTGCCGTGGCTGCGCGTGTCCGCACTGCCAGGGTTGCTCCTGCTCCTGCTCCTGCTCCTCCTCCTGCTCCTGCTCCTGCTCCTGCTCCTGCTCCTGCTCCTGCTCCTGCTCCTGCTCCTGCTCCTGCTCCTGCTCCTGCTCCTGCTCCTGCTCCGGCTCCTGCTCCTGCTCCTGCTCCTGCTCCTCCTCCCCCTCGTTGTTCTCCTCCCCGTTGTCCTTCTCCTCCCCCTCCTGCTCGTCCTCCTCATTATTATGATTCTGCTTCACATTAATATTACTACTGTGATAATATCAATCAGTATGATCACTAGTATTGTTTTAATTAATATTATGTATATTATTATTGTTGTTCGTATGAATAGTAATGGCATCCCCAGTCTTATTCTTAGTAGTGATAGTCTGTCTATTCCTACTATTAGTTTATACCTGTATGTGTCCGCTTGACGCCCTTGTTCAGATTGGCCAGTTTTGCTACCCACTGTGTCTTGTCAGCGACGAACGCGCCTGCACCACGTCCTACGTTGAAGCCACCGTCCGAATACTGATGCATATGGACACCGTGCTACACCGCATCAGCGATGCTGCGACTGTCGATCTCGCCCGCGTCATACTTTAACCCCAGGCAGACATTGCACACCAAATCAGCGGCCATGTTGCAATCTCGCGCCCTCCAGTCATGAGTGCTGCAGTACCCGGCCCTGTGCCTCCTCGCCCCCGTCCTCGTCCTCGTCTTCCTCCTCCTCCTCCTGCTCCTCCTCCCGCCTCCTGCTCCTCCTGCTCCTCCTCCTCCTCCTCCTCCTCCTTCTCCCGCCTCTCGCCTCCTCCTCCTCCTCGCCTCCTCCCCCCGCCTCTCGCCTCCTCCTCCCGCCTCCTCGCCTCCTCCTTTCCCTCCTTCTCTTCTTCCTCTCATCACGTCCGTGCCCGGGCCGGCCTCGGGCGCGAGCGCAGCTGCTCAAGGCGTGAGGATGATGATGATGATGATGATGATGATGATGATGATGATGATGATGATGATGATGATGATGATGATGATGATGAGGGGGAGGGGGAATGTGAGGAGTGTGAGGAGGAGGAGGAGGAGCAGGAGGAGAGAGGTAGGAAGGAGGTAGGATGAGGAGGAGGAGGAAGGAGAGGATGAGGGAGGAGGAGGGGAGGAGGAGAGGAGGAGGAGGAGGCCCCCCTCCTGGGCGTGGAAGTTGTGCTCTGGGCAGCCCTTCGGCAGCCACAGGTAGCAACCAGGGGCGGTCGGCCGCTGAGGCGCCTCTCGGCTCCGGGGGGGCGCCCAGGGCGCCCCGGGGGGAGATCAGCAGAGGGCTGGCGATCTCGAGGATCGATCTCCTCCTCCCTCCTCCTCCTCCTCCTCCTCCTCCTCCATCCTTCCTCCTGTTTTCCTCCTCCGCCTCCTCCTGCTCCTCTCCCCGCCTTCCTCCTGTTTTTTGTTTTCCTCCTCGTCCTCCTCCTCGTCCTCTACTTCCTCCTCCTCGTCGCTTTTCCCTCCTCGTCCCCTCCTCCTTTTACCCCTCCTTTGTCCTCCTCCTTTTCTCCTCCTTTTCCCCCTCTTTCCCTCCTCCTCCTCCTCCTCCTCCTCCTCCTCACTCCTTCCTCCTCCTCCTCCTCCTCCCCCTTCACCTCTTCCCCTGCACCTCGTCCTCCTCCTTTTCGTTTCTCGCTCATCGCTCCCCTCCTCCTCCTCCTCCTCCTCCTCATCATCATATGATTATTGCTATTATTAGTATTATCATTATAAGTATTATTATTCTTATTATTATTATTATTCTTATTAGGATTAGTCATATCCTTATTATGCGTAGTATGTTTCTTATTACCATTCGTACTCGCATTTTGGATGTTATGATCAGTCTTATTCGTGTTATTCATCTGAGTGTCGCTCGCTGCCTTCTTCTTAATATTTGTAGCAGCGTTCACATGTGCATTGCTATTATTACGATTAGCACTGGCTTCACGATTCGTACTACTACTAAGATTATGCTTATTAATACTCTTATCAATATTAGAAATATGGTCTGTAAGTCGTGTTCCGTTTTACTCGTATTCTTATTCGTCGTAGTAGCAGTCCTCTTCGTATTATTAATTGTATTATGATTCGTCACAGTATCATAACTAGTAGTAATAGTAGTCGAACTGTTCGTGTGATTCGAATTATGAGTACTGGGAATCGTATTGATGTTATGCTTGATTTTCTGGCTCGCTTGTGGTTAGCATTAGATTCGTAGTAGCATCCATATTCTTAGCATTGGTAGTCGTATTAGTCTCTGCTTAATACGATTGATCTTATTCCGTCGTCGTCTACTGCCTCCTCCGCTTCCTCCTCC